TGTGTGTGTGTGTGTGTGTGTGGTGATAAATCCTTCCTCTGTAGGAGTTGAAAGTGTGTGCGTGTGTGTGTGTTTGTGTGTGTGTGTGTGTGTGTTAAGGGGTGGGAACAGCAGGAGGGAGTGAGTGTGGACTCCAAAGCTCTCCTCCAGATTAGCCATGGATTAGGAGGGTTTAGGGTGGATTAGGAATAATGGCATTAGACTGTGGTGCTGCTACACAGCCCTGAGGCCCGCAGAGAGGGGAGGCAGGGAGTGGAAACGGCTTTTACTGCTTTGTTTTGATGCACAGCCTCGTTTACTGGCTGTGCATATGAAATGAAACACAATCATATTATTATTGTGCAGCAAATCACATCGACTGTGTACGCATGTGTTCGGGAGAGCGCTTTGTTTTTATTTTCTATTTCATGTCATTTTCTGATATTGTTCTTTCTCGCAGTTTGGAAATTTCTTTGACAGCAGCATTGTTGTCACTAATGGGATGATATATGAGTGGACCCACTGTGTCGAGCAATAATTGTTCGGAAATATTTTACCCGTATAAGGACCAAGATCAGAATTATGGCTAATACATGTAACTGTGCATATATTGATATCATTTAGGGTAAGTAATGTAAAGTAATGTTTTGGTATTGATGCCAGAACAGAAAGTTACCGCAGTGGCAACAATATTTAAATATTTTTTAACAAACCCAGCCTTACGTACAGCATACTTTAGCTAGACTTTTGGTCATTTTGTGTTGTGTTGTGTGTTTGTGTGTGTTAAATGTGACAATCTCTAGCCAGTTAATGAATGAAATTTTGTAATTGCAGGGAGCTTTTGGCATTTCCAGTCATGTTTTCCCTTGCAATAGTATAACAGTGTGTCAGTACTTTCAGTGATGCATTTTTTTTTTTTTTTGCATTTATATTAAAGTAATTTGTGCTTGTCTCCCTGTTCATCTATAGCAAACAATTGGAAATAGTGTTTTAATAAATCCAGGCAGCTAACAAACAGAGCAGTGTTTTAGATGTTTGTTTCTGTATCACAGTATAACAGGCTAACTCTGAGGACAATGTGATGAAAAGAAAAGGATTTGACTGAGATGACAAAGTAAATTCTCGGTTACTGATTTTCTGGTGTCCATCTCAGGTTAATAATTATTGAAGAATTATTGATAGTAATGGTACAAAAAGCTGTTTACCAACGTTCATCAGACTGATGGATTTTTTCGTGTGTGAGTCACGTTCAGGCAGGTTAGACTAAGTCTGCAGAGGTGTAGCTGAACTCGATGGTCAGGTTCATTTCCACACCGGATAAGCTCTTTCATCTCTGCCCTACTTTGATGTTTTGCGCTCCTGGATGAATCTTGCTGCTCTCTCTCACTGCCTAGATCTGTCTTTCTCGCTCTGTACCCTTTGGATGACTTTGCCCTGTTAGCTGTCTGTCTCTCTGTGTATCTGTCTCTTTCTCTTTATCTCTTGTGCAGCTACATTTTGAGGTGTGTGGGCAGAAAATGTATGATCTCATTTATGGTTATAGCTGTTGTGCAGGAGCTCTTAAGCCCAGTTCAGACCAAAGACTCGTGACGCAATGAAACAGTTTCAGAACGTTGCAGGAAAAAGTTGCAATGGCGTAAACTGGCCCGTCTCAACCGTTTGGTGGCATCACCTGTGACTCAGCTTGTCAAAACTCCAGTTGCTGATTTTAGAATGTAAGGCACATAGGAAAGTCAGCTGATCAAGTCTGTAACTGAAAGCTGGTCGAAATGTTTTGGAGGGAAGAAAGAGAGGATCACCTTATGAGCTTGTCTGAGAAACAGCCCTGTCTGTATGACACAGGCCTTAAAATTTACTCTAAAGAACACAACTCCAAATGCTCGACCCTCTTTGGGGTTTTTTTGCGTGTTTTTTTACCCTTTCTAGAAACACAACTGTAGCAAGTAGCTCATATTATCCTCATTCATATTTTAAGACGAATGACGATATAATACACCATCTCATCTAGTTGCGATGTAAATTGGCAGGTTTTGAGAATGTTGCAGACTGATGCATTGCAAATTTTAACTCATCTTGTCGCAATTCTTTGGTCTGAACTGGGCTCTACAGAGTGGGCTTCTCCATAACATATTGTAGGTATTTATATCAGCATGTTTGATCACTTGCACTACAGTATATCTTTGACTTATTAGCAACCATGGGATCTTTAACCATCCCCCCTTGGACCACCACGCGTTTGGTTTTCAAACGCTGCTCCCCAAGAAGAGGGAATTAACTGGCCTATGCAAGTTACACTTGACCAACTACTCACAGGTGTCTCAGGTTCTTATCTGATGGCATTTAAACTGGATCTGGTCATAGCCTTGAGTTTTGGTAACATGGTGGATGCTGAGGAAAAACATATCTAGTTCAAGGAACAGTAAAATACTGTATCTCAGTCTATTTCTGCACATTTATGGCTGGTTTAATGAGACAGTTTTCGGGTTTTATGATCAGTGCATTACTGATTTCTACTGAAGTGTTTGTCAATCACTGTGAAGTGTGCAACTAACTGACAGCTGACAAATGACTTGTGATTTAAGAAAAACAAATCCTGAACAGATGTGAAGTTGTAGCTGATTCACAAGTGTTTGATATACTATATTGTCATCCTCATTTATACCAGAGAGTCGTGTAGGAGGAATACATTGGCAATACTGTTGTTGTAGTTCCTTCAGTTTGTCAAAAGAGGTCATAATCTTCATAATCCTGCTTTAAAATTCAAATGTCTGAATTGATCAAGTCTTCTTTTCTCTGCTGTCTCAGTTGGTGATTCAATATCTGATTGCTTCTGTCTGTCTGTCTGTCTGTCTGTCTCTCTCCCAGCATCAGCAGCAGGTGGTGCAGGCGGTGGAGAGGGCCAAGCAGGTCACCATGGCTGAACTCAACGCCATCATAGGAGTGGGTGTATTACACACATGCATACACATACGCACACACAGTAATAGAAGATGCTGAAAGATAGATCTGACAGAGACTTAAAAAAGTGGTGCAGGGAGAGTGCTGGAAAAAGAGATTTTGTGCAGTTTAACACTTATTGCTAATGCTGAGTGCAAAAGAAAGTGATTTTTTTTCACTTGTTTCTACCTTATTCATTCACCAAAGTTTAATAAATTGCCCATTTTTCTCTCAGCCCTGGTCTTTGTTAGGTACTGGGTCAACTTTTAACTATTGAGATTAGCAGTATGAAAATAGACTTTCCATTACTTGTTCATCACGGCAGAATGTTTTTATATTTCCAAACACTTCAGTGTGTTTAGAGTCGTGGATTCTGTCTGAGTCGTGGCCAATGATAATAAGAAATTGCAGTGCAGAAGTGCCAAATATACTTTATGTTCGAGGTCATTTAGACACAGTGTCCCACGTTTGTCCACCAGAGAGCGCTAACTAGTTTTTCATCCGCTAAATGTCCTGCTTCATACAAATCTTGTGTTACGCTTTAAAAACTACATTTCCAAGCAACAGCCACAAAGAAGGCAAAAAAGAATATTGGCTGGTAACAAATGTAAATAAAAAAAACTTTAATAAAAGTCACTGCTGGTATATTTATGTTGGTAAGGTTTTGGTTTGCTTGGAGCGCATTTTAAATAAATAAATATTTAGTTTAATAAAGAAATTGTATTTGTGATTTCCTCTGACACACCTGTCATATATTCAGGTATCCAGAGATTTCTACAATTTGAGGATACTTAGATTTTTAAAACTTCACAATATCTATCTTCTCCTTCCAGTCTGTCTCTCTATCTCAGTTTCTTATTTGCTTCTAGCATGCAGAGTCAAAATGTAGCATTACAGTAATTATTGTTTCGGTGTGTGGTTCAGCAGCAGCAGCTTCAGGCTCAACAACTCTCCCACGGCCACGCCATCCCCATCCCACTCACGCCACACCCAGCGGGCCTCCAGCCCCCCCTGCCCCCGGGGGCTGGTACTGCCAGCCTGCTGGCTCTGTCCTCCGCCCTGAGCCACCAGCTGCCGCTCAAAGACGAGAGGAAACACCACGACAACAACAGTGAGCACCCGAGAGGTAAGGCCTGCTCTGCATATGTGTGTGGGTTCAGAAGGTGTTGATGGGTTTATGTCTGTGTGTGTGCAGGTGTTTTTTCATGTCTGCGTTAAGTATAGCATGCACTACTGGTTATCAAACAGGTACGCATGCTAAACAGTCAGTTTGTTTGGTTACTTCCTTCATTTGTATTTTAAAAACAAAAATTGATTTTAATTCCACTTTACAGCCACATTTAGGAATGATACAAACACATGAGAGGGAAATATATAAATCTTTATCAGTTTATCAGCGTCACACTTCACTTTATTTATTTATTTTTTTCACTTCTGAAATTTTTATTATGTCACATTCTTGCATCATATTAAATAAAAGCTTTATTAGATTGCTGTAAATCTTTGCATTTTTAGTCTACTTTTCTTTCTCACATCCACTGACAGATTATTTATCAAGATAAACAGATTACATAATAGGCTAAAATATCATTTTGTTCATGTTAGATACAGACAACCCTATATAATTGTCAATTGCACAAACGTGTGTTGTTTTATGTCGTTCATAAGCAGATGCCAAACAGACATAAATACTGAAGCTTTTATCTTTTGTTTAGCTAATGATCCCAAACTAATGTTACATGTCTGGAATATTCAGTCAAAGTTATGAATTATACTAACTGATGCTGATGCTTAATTGTTAGTACTCTGAATGAACAGCAGTTAAAGCAATTAAAAACTGATTTGTCATTATGCAGTTTTAATTGGCCTAATAAGGAGCGATACACAGCCACCATGATGCCTCTTTTCTCTAGTACATGCAGAACGCCTCTATTTCTTTTCCAAGATGACTTTGAGCTAAAGCATTTAATTACAGTACATAGAGACTCTGTGTGTGTGTGTGTGGTTGTGTGTGTGTGCGTGTGATAGAAACAGTGTGTGCCAGCTCTTAATTACTTTGTTGCAGCATGGCTGTGAGGGTTTGTACAGTGCAGTAGAGCAGTTAACCTTGCCCTGAAGCTGCAGTAAAGCTAACTCAGGTAATACTTACCCCCATTAGGAACAAAATCAATAACAATCCAATTCCATCTCCAGCCGAGTTCCTGTGAATGGGTGTGCATGTAGGGAATAACAGGGTTATTTGTTTGCCTTTTTAGTCTTTTGAAATGTATTTATTTGTTCTAATGCATGCTGTTGCCCCTAAACTCCTTAATTTACTAATACAGCAACTTTTTACAGCAACCCAGTATTCCTATTTTCGGTGTTAATCTGTTGGATTTGGCAATACATCCCAACAGCTGATGTGTACATAGTCTGTATATTTAGTTTCCTCACTTGTCTAATCTAAACTGGCCTCATCATCACAACACTTCCAATGGAAACGTACAGTTTCTTTCTCTGCTAAGAAAAGAGAACTGTAGCATATGTGACATAACGTCATCCGGTAGTCTCTTGCAGGTTTTGAGCAGCCTTAAGCTGAATTCCCTGGAACAGTTGAACCACGTTAAAACTCTCTAAATCCTTGTTTTTGTGCTAGCAGCCGCTGCAGTGCTCCTTGTGTCTTTCTCTATGGAAACAGGGTATTAGCACTGTGAATGACTTCACTAATGGAAGGTCACTGTACTGGCCAGTGCGTAATCATATATTTCTGCTATTGTTTCCCATCATGATATTCTACTTAACAGGTTAGAGGCTAGCTGGTACAATAAGGGGAAAATAATTTACTTTTAGTCTTAGCTGACATTGATGTTACCTCATCATCTCTTTCTTTCTCTCTGTGTGTGTGTGTGTGCGTCTTTTGCATTATATCTTTGCAGTTTTGTTATAATAAATGCCTTAATCAGTAATTTTTTTCTCTCTCTTGCCGTCCGCCTCCTCAGACAGAGACTCAGTCAAGGTAAGTCCCTTCTTTACCTTCTCACTCACAGACTGATGTGTTTGCTCTATAGTCTTATTTCTACTCAACTTAGCGGGATAGAGTTTTTGTTTAATAATATCAAATTTTCTTTATCAGGTGACACAACTTGCAATTCAGATAAACGGAACAAAAGTGACTAATGAATAACTGATTTTGCAGAAAGATATTTCTTCTCCTACCATCAACACCCCTCATGAGATTTCTTTATTCATTCTCATTCCTTACACACCTGCCAGTGGCTGAAGACCGACATTTGATATCATATGCAAAAAATATGAGGAGACTGATATATAATACCTGCCTTCCTCATTCAAAACTGTGTCAACCATGAAGGAACAAATTAACATAAAATCCACTTCAAGTCCAAACAAGTTATGATAAATATGATATGGTCATAAATCTTGGAATATGCTTTGCCTTTCTAATGTAATTAGGTAATAATTACAGCTTGTTCAGGTAAATCATATAATTATAGAGCAGTATTATCTGGAAAACAGTTCTTTAAAGACTCTTTAAAGAATCTTTAAAACTATCTTAAAAGGAGCTTTAGGTGTTAAATAACATAATATATGTAAATTATGTACCCAGATATAAAACATATTTGATGCTCACTGCTTATTTCATTTTAACACAAATTATCACATAAGAAAAGTTTATTTAATAATATCCTCTGATCCACTAGTCATTGATGTATTTCACACTCGCTGTAATAAATGTACTTTTTGAATTTGTGGAAATGGAAGCAAAGAGCAAGAAAGAGGAAGTAGGTGAAATAGAAACCCAGGGATGAGCAAAGACAAAAAGCACACGTGTCACTAGTGAAGGAAGGAGCAAAAAGAGGCAACAGAGCAACATTACATCCAGCACGTGTAGTAATTAGTCCCTTAAGCAAAGCTTTTTTTCCCCAAGGCAAACATTTGGTTTGTTGAATACTCAATGAGCAGATTAGCATTTCTTTATTCCGGCAGCCTGAGCTCTCTCTCTCTCTCTCTCGTCTCTCTCATCTCTCTCATCATCTCTCTCTTTTTTTTATCTTTCTTTCACACACACACACACACACACACACAGGCATGATTTGAACATGTTGTGTGCTTTCTCTGGTAAGTTGGAGAAGGTGGAGACAGGAGGAATGTTTAATATGTTATCTCCTGCCCCCCATGTAGGTTATCCTCCTCCACACACACACATTCAGAGCTGTAGGCACCACGATGGGAGCGATTAGCAGTGTGCATGCCTCTGTGTGTGTGTGTGTGTGTGTGTGAGGTCGTCACAAATCAGTAAAGATAGAGAGACCAGAATGATGAATGCCTTTCATTAGCGCCCTGTGAGACACACACGCACACACACACACACACACGGCCAACAGTCACTTCATGAAACCAATAAGCCCCTTGTCAGTGGTCTACAGTTGCCTTGGCAACAGTTCACAGGGTACAGTGTGTGTGTGAATTGCTTGAACATCTGTGCCTTAATGTCCTTGTTGTTACAACCTCACACATTGATAAAGGTATGTGGGTGTAGACGTACATGTGTGCCCGCATACTTACTGTTGCCCATGTAGACAGTCAGTTATAGTCGTGATGTGTTCAAGGACTGACGGCTCCTGCTCAAGCAGGTCAGTGTACTTATCAAATGATTATTGGTTCAGTTGTCAATGCCATTGATTTTTGCCATTGTGCTTGTAATCGTCCCTTTTCAGTACACTGTGTGATAGAGGGGGAGACACAGTTTGGGGTAGTTGCAATTTAAGGATAAACGATCGATTTTTTGGAAAATGCAGCGATCTTAAATATAATCACTCAAGCGAAAATCACACTCACAGAGTCTAAATCCTTGATTATGGGCTGTATGTTTAGAAAAATGGTGGAAAACGAATTCCTAATGAGGTGGCTTTCAGCTTTAGACTGACCTTTAGAATGAATCACCTGTTAAAACATGCTGCAGCTTGTTGTTAGCGTGGTCGCTGCAGAGGCCTTCAGACTTCTTTTTGCTCTTTTTGTCTTGTTTTTGTCACTGGAAAATGAGGATTACAGCTGCAGCTGGTCTCTTTGTTAATGTTGGGATACTCCTTTTAGAAGGTCTGTTTACAGTGTACAATCTGGACTTCCCTGCTGTGTTGGCCGCAGGATAAGAAGCAAACTGAGTCAAACAGAAGGATCAGAGGTGATAGATTAGACCGACTGACTTAAACCAAGTGTAAAACATTGTTTTTGGTGTGAACAGAACCATCGTTTTTATGGGTTAGTGAGCTATAGAAGCTGAGAAGCAAAGGGATGAAAATACAGGATTTCAAACAAGTAGACACATCTCTTGTCTCTCACTCACCGCTGCAAGAAGAAAACTATTGTCTTGGTTAAGGGAAGAGAAAAGGAAACAGGGAAGGTGGAAGAGTAACAGTAAAGGTTTAATATGCAGTAATGGCATTGTTAATAATTAGTGGCTGAATTTGCAAACAATCATATTTTTGTGCTGCCCTGCTGATATAGAAATGTAGATATTAGCATTTGAGCACTTTAAGCACTTGACATGTATATTGGCATAAAAGAGTTAATTCAGTCATATTACATGATGTTATATCACATTGTGTATCACATTTCACAGTGTATTTTTAGTGTTGTTACTATGGGCATTTGAGAAATCAACTATTATATTAAAAATTTTTTGAAGACATTTTGGGGGCTGTGATCGTCAAAAGGGTAGAAGAGTGAGCTTGTGACTGGAGAGTTGCTGGTTCAGTCCTCAGACCAGGTTCAATCTGTGTGAAAGTGAAGCAATTCTCTCTGAACCAGGACTGAGGTGTCTTTAAGCAAGGTCCTTACCCCCAACTACCCCTGTGGAGCTTCTTAAACATCCATCACATCAGACGTCTTCTAGATATGAACTATGTGAGTGTAAGCAGGGACTTTCTGGAAGAGGAGAGCCTTACTATCAGTGATCAGGACCCTGAGGTGACTCCGGACAGAAATCCTCTGAAACACCCCCCCCCCCGCCTCTGGCAAGCAGATTCTTCTTGCTGCAGCCAGGGAGCCCTTAGACACAGACCTGAGTACTTGTGAACACCCCCACTGCAGAGCGCTCACACGTTTCCTTTTAATGTACACTTATCTGTGTATTTACACGTTAACGCATGTACGTGGTAATTACAGTGGCATATAAGTGCTTTTAATATTTATACTGTGAACATTTGAACATTCATTATTCAGTGTTTTGCATATTCCCTCCTCTTTGTTTCAAACACTGTTTAGCTCTTTTCATTTTAAAAACATATATTTTACTTTTTTTTTTTTTTATCGATGATTTTTGACTTTTGCAGTACTTTTTTTTACTCTTTTCTCTTATCTCTTATCCTATGTCTTATCAAGACAAATTCCATGGCAATAAACTTGATTCTGATACTTCCCTGGATAGATCAAGCACAAACAATACTTTATATACTATATAATATAGAAATAACACAAAACTACACAGTAAAAGTACAGAGTGTTATTTGGATGGTGTTGAAACATCTATAATGGCTGCATCCAATTACAATTGGATTTTAATGACTTTATGCCCCTCTAATTAGTTTTTAATCTGTAATGCAACCCAAACATCCACCTTGAGGATTGCAGGCCTTGACTTCATTTAACAACATTAATATATACACGAGAAACGTGGTCATTCTGGGCCTCTCATTACTAGAGAATCTGAATGTTTGCCAAAATGAAATCGAATCAATTTGAAATTGGGAGGCAAATATAATTATGATATGCTGCTAAATTAATACTTTCACCCAGACACACCACACGCTTCTTCACACTCACAATGCTCGCACTGCCTTGCGGAGCCTTCATTTGTCTCTGCAGCAAAATTAATTTGCCTTGATGTTTTTGAAAGAGCTAATTTGCAGGCTAATTAACCTAATCAGTCTGGAGAGAGACAGAGAGAGAGGGGCCCAACCTGCTCTGTCTCACTCAAGAAGAGACACACACCTGTAAAAGACACTGACATCTAAACATTGTTTGCACATACGGAGTACTAAAGTGTAAACAGGTACAAGTGCTGCCAGACCACACACACACACAGACACAGACACTCACACACCAACCTCACTCCTCCCCCTCAGAATCTTTGTCATCAACACTTGCAGCACGGCAAAGGGCAGTGGAAAGGTTACAAGCGTGAGTTAGTGGAAAGGTCGAGTTAAAGGTCCTGCTTTATTTTTCTTCTCTCTGTCCATCCTCTGCCGGGTAAGGAGCGCCTCCCAATGAGAGAGAGAGAGAGGGAGATCAGCAGGGACAGGCAGAGCAAGTGGGGAAATGTTTAGTTGACCTTATTTTGATCTTTGCTTCTCAAAGAGGATTAATCCTTCAGTAATGGTATTTAAAGGATGCCATATTTGATTAAGGAAAGAGAGACATCAATGGACCAACCCCCCCTTTCCTCCCAATCTCAAAATAATGCTGCTGAGTTCAAGCCGCGATGGTGTAGTCAAACTGTCAAGGATGCAGCGCATGCTTTGGTATTTTATGATACAGTAAAAATAAAATGACAGGAGGAGTTTTTAAAGTGATGTGTAAATCCAGCCATGAAGTGGAGCACAGTCATTTTGTGTTTGCAGTGTTTGAATTGCTGCCTGGCTGCTTGCTTATTGCCAGATTTTATGCTAATTTAGCTCAAAGTGGAAGTCTTGACACATTTAAAAGATTTGTAGCATTTAAGTTGTAGCTTACTAGTGCTTCTCCCCCTGTCCTGGGCATTAGATGTCAGTATTTACTCAACCTATCAGGGTTTATAGAAAGGAAAAGAAAAGTCTGTCTCCCTTAGCTCAGTCTCCACTGCTTCATTTCTTCACTTGTATGAGTTCCTCATTAGATAAGCTGTGAAGTAGAGCCAATATGTATCAGTGTCAGCTGAAATTAATAATTATTTTGCCTAAGAGCCCCTGCACCCAGTTCCCTTTGATTGGCAGTACTGAATGCAATTAAATGTTTGGTATTAAAGGATTGTTTTACTCAAATCACAAAAAAAACAACAACATATACATATCTCTTATCTCTTCTGGTTGTGGTCATGCAGATGGTTTTTGTTTCATTTGCCCAGGTTTTGGGAGATATCTGCGTTCACCCAATGCAAAAGAGGTGAATGGATTTTTATTCATGGATTTTGCTGTTTGCTCAAAATAAAATATTCAACAGCAAAATATCAGTGTGCACGTCACTCTGAATAATTCTCTGAACATGCTGTCAACATGTTGTTCCAAGAAAAACTAATTAAAGAACTACTTCTCAGCTGCTTCTATGTCATAAAGATAGAGATAGTTACAGTGTATTCAAATGTACACAGTACATACAATATGATTGTGTAATAATTTCTGCAGTTAAAGAGACTCCTCAGTCCTGGGGCATTTTTTCGACATGTCCTTTAAAATGAAGAATAAAGTTTCTCTTAATCTCCTTTTAAATATGTGGTTCTTGTTTCTTCCAGAGCTCATCTGTATCTCCCTCGGCCAGTTTTCGGACCGGAGAGAAGCACAGGAGTTCAAGTGATTATTCCTCCGACAGCAAGAAACAGAAGACAGATGATAAGGAGTCTACACGCTATGTGGGTGAACATCATTTTTTACTTTACCTAATAAGAAAGGGCAATATTTCTTCATGTGATCATGTGGCTTTTGTACAATAATAACTACATTAGCTACACTTTGGGTGAAATATTCACCATTTTGGAGAAAAAAGAGGAGTGCCAATAATTGTCTAATATGAAATCCACAACAAAACAAAGGCCTTCTGACTGACAGTATGTGAAGTTATCGCACATCAGCCACATTCAAATCCCACACTTTCTTTATTTTTGTTGGCAGTTGGCAAAAGAAACACAGTGAGAGAGAGACCTGACATGGCAAAGTTCGTAGCTCAGATTGGAGCTCAGTATGTTGCCGTTCAGGGCTTGTATCCCGGCCAAATGAGCCATCTGGAGTGTACACAATGGATCCATTTTGACCACTTTATCTGATAATTAAAACATGCAAAAATACAAAAGGAAAAATGCCAGAGGAATGTTAAAATAGCCTTTATGGTCTTCTCTCAGAGCATTAATTAAATCATGGATTTTTATGATGACCCTTTTTATAACTTTATGTTATTTTTACTATCAGATAAATGGGATATTAAATGTGATGAAAGCACCTCCTAAAGATACCTCAGCAAGTGGACATACTGCAGATGTTTTCATCCATTTTATCCAAAATAAAACAAAATTCTGATTACATTAAATGCACTAAATATTTTTATATGTACATTTTATATGTATATTACTCAAGTGTGTGTATTCTATGTGTTTGTCCCAGGAAAGTGATGGAGAGAAGAGCGATGACAACCTGGTTGTGGACGTCTCCAATGAGGTACAACACAGTTTAGCAACATGGAGTTTTTTGTGTTAGCTGATTACTAAACTAACTGCATTTGACTCTCTAATCTCTGTCTGTGCTCACCCACCACAGGATCCAGTGTCTCCTCGAGGAAGTCCTGCCCACTCACCTCGGGAGAACGGGTTGGACAAGCGTCGTCTGTTGAAGAAGGATGCTCCGCTGAGTCCTTCCTCCATCGCCTCCTCCAGCAGTACACCTTCATCCAAATCCAAAGAGATTAATTTGGTGAGTCATTTGGGTAATTATAGCCTTCTGATCTTCTTTTTCATAATTTCTCTGGGTGGTTTTCTATTTTTAGGCATTCATAAAAATGTAATCATTGTAAGGTATAGGAGAGAATAAAGGTTTGGTTTTAATTAAACTCTTAAATCTGTATCTGAAAGCATGTAACAACACGTAATACATTATAATAGAATATTAATTTTATGAGTCATAAACCCAGTCAAAGCATGAACAGTTCCAGTATTATTTAAATGATTCTGCTCTGCTATTAAATTTGCAAATGGTTTTGTGTGTCTTTTACCTCCTTGTGTGATTAAGATTACTTTGCTTTTTTGTGTTGTAGAATGAGAAGTCCACAACGCCCGTGTCCAAGTCCAGCACCCCGACATCCCGCTCTGATGCCCCCACACCCAGCAGCACCTCAACCCCGGGCCTGAGGACTGCACCCAGTAAACCCTCAGGAGTCGAGACACTGGGTGAGTGTTACAAACAGGACATACAACTTCTCAGCATGCGTCAGTGAGATAGTGCATATGAATCAGTGGGAGGCTTGACGAAAGTAGAAACTTGTTTAGCCCATTTTGAGCCAGAACATCACAGAGTTTGACATTTGATTGCTGTCCAGCCAAATACCAGATACGGAAACTGTATAAGCTCAATCTCTACACTAATACCTGGGATGTGTGAAGATTTTAGACCCAAATTTAAGGGGAGTGGAAACCAAAAACGTTGCTAACCTCAGAATCAAATGTCCCAACTTGTATCAGACAGTGTTTTGTGTCTCGTAGCTCCTGGTCTCCGTACGCCATTGGCGGTGCCCTGCTCGTACCCCAGTCCATTTGGGATGGTTCCCCACCCGGGTATAAACGGAGAACTGAGTGGAGCAGGAGCAGCCTACACTGGCCTGCATAACATTTCTCCACAGATGAGCGCGGTGGCTGCTGCTGCGGTGGCAGCTTATGGACGCACACAAGTGGTAACCAAACACATGCACATTGTATACTTATAAATGCTCTTGAGAAAACATTTATTACTTAGATGTCTAAACAAACCCTGCTGTGTTTCAACCAAATTTAGCCTGGCACTATCCTAAACACCCAGACATCTTTTCACGGGCTTACAGCATGGGGGCTTTGAAGTTTATGGTGCATTTAATGCAGAAATTGCAGCATTCAGGACATATAGTATGCAAGCTGCAAAAGCTAGTTCATGTCTTGTTTTAAAAGATGAATTCTAATTCAAAGATGCTGCCTGCTACTAGATTGTGGAAATCTATGTGTTGTATAATTTGTTTATGGTTGAATTGTGTCTAAACTCTCTTTCTTTGATCCTCCAGGTGGGATTTGATCCTCACCACCACATACGTGTCCCTGGCCTTCCTCCCAACCTGTCAGGCATTCCTGGTGGAAAACCGTATGTTTCGTCTCAAAGAGCATAATTAAGCCAACAATGTCACATTTGCGTTTACCTTTCCCCCTCACTTCTCTCACCATCCGTTATTACTCCACATGACTCTTTTCTTTCCTCTAGAGCCTACTCCTTTCATGTGAGCGCTGATGGACAAATGCAGCCTGTGCCTTTTCCTCCGGATTCACTGATCGGTCCTGGCATTCCCCGCCACGCACGACAGATCAATACTCTCAGCCACGGGGAGGTGGTGTGTGCTGTCACCATCAGTAACCCGACGCGTCATGTCTACACCGGCGGCAAGGGTTGCGTTAAAGTGTGGGACATCAGTCACCCGGGCAACAAGACCCCTGTATCCCAGCTAGACTGCCTTGTGAGTGCACTGCGATGACCCTTACTTCATATAGCAACTAGCTTATAGTTTGCACTGATACTTTAATGCCAGTAACAAAGTACTCCTGTGCGTCTGTCACATCAGAACAGAGATAACTACATCCGCTCCTGTCGGCTACTTCCGGATGGACGCACTCTCATTGTCGGGGGCGAGGCGAGTACTCTGTCAATCTGGGATTTGGCTACACCAACTCCACGAATCAAGGCTGAACTGACTTCATCAGCACCTGCGTGTTATGCTCTGGCCATCAGCCCCGACTCCAAGGTCTGCTTTTCCTGCTGCTCCGACGGAAACATAGCCGTCTGGGATCTTCACAACCAGACTCTGGTTAGGTATGGAACTTGGGGGGGTCATTTGTGAGGGTTTTGATTAGTGCCATACTAATGAACGAATACCATGCCAACTTAAACCCAGTTGTCAGAGCCAGTTGAACTGACAATATCTACAACAACTAATGACATATAACCATACATTTAGCCAGCGTCACAGTCCATCCCAGAAGTTCTTAAATTATTCGTCTTCCGTGGTTTTACAGAAGATACTGTATATAATTCACTTTTTAAAAGTAACTGCACCCAGTTTCCAAAAGAAAAAATACTTCTGAAATGATTTTTCAAAAAGCACTGCATTATTAAGTGTAAAACTTTTTTTCTTAAACAATCTATGAATATTTTTGACATGTGAATATTGTTTTATAATATTTACGTAATAAATAGGGGATTTTTTTCCCCTTTTTTTCTACCAAATCTTGACTTTATCTGACACATTCTCACTGTCACTGAGAATTTGAGTTTTAAAAAAGAATTACTCTTACTTACCAAAATGCCCACCTTTTATAGTTATATTGGAAGTTAGGTTACATTGAGGCATTGATGGCGATGTGATTGATCTTAAAATTAACTGCAACCACAGTCAGTGTCACTCCATTAGTCCTTGCATATGCAGACCAGTGTTTCTCACCAACGTGTAATAAATGCCAGACAGTGAATTAGATAAAGGTGGTCACTTTATCATCTCATAGCATCGCTGATAAGTTCTCCAGGCACTGGCAGAAGGTGTGTTAATCACTTAATTGCTGTTAATCAGCCATAGGTTTGTACTCATAATGTACTTTTGTTCTTCTTTGTGCCTCCTGCAAGTTCACCTTCAAACTGGGATTGGGGGCTGACATACTGAAACTTTCTTATTGCTATTTTAAGAGCGTCTTTTCTCTTCAAGAGGAGATGCAAATATTTGTATGTGTTCACTGATTTGAAGAAAACTCTGCTGTTGTGTATGGGTTTGTCTGACTCTGTGTTTTGTTTTTCTGCAGACAGTTCCAGGGCCACACTGACGGAGCCAGCTGTATAGACATCTCTAATGATGGGACCAAGCTGTGGACTGGAGGCCTGGATAACACTGTGCGATCCTGGGACCTCAGGGAGGGACGGCAGCTGCAGCAGCACGACTTCACCTCCCAGGTACACTAGATGCTTCTTACACACAAACAAACCCTTCTATTATTGCAGAAACTATGTCCTGTTTTAGGTGCTGTTGGGATATGGTATGGATCATAGTTTGTGTAGCAATAGAGTGGTTTGTCGTTTGTTCAGTCCCTGCAGCAGTTTGCAGGTGTAAGCTGCAAACAGGCTTGGTTTTTATTATTATTTGGTGTTTGAAGTAAAAGGTACAGATTGTTGAAAATTGTCCATCTCGGGACAAGTCACAGCCATTTGCAGTTTGCGTGATTACACTCTCGGGCTTTGCCTTATTGCAGTAATTTACAAGCTCAGTTCAGAACATTTAACCCATAGTAAAGGCCGGACTGAGCACTGGTTTTCTGCCCTATGCTCAACTAATACTGGCGGTTAGAATTTATTTTTTTTTCAGGTTAGGAGAAGAGCAGCAATAATAGACCATTACTGCAATTTTTCCTGAAAAGAGCCATTTCACAGTCTCAGTGTGCACAGGAGGGGGTGAGTGTGCATTAAAGAGAGCTCAGAGAGGTCAGGGCAGACAGGGGGAGACATGGCCAATCGAGTGCTTATGCTATCCAATAATATCTGTTCTAACCCTCACCCTCCAAAAAAACTGCTTCAGCAAATTTAACATCAGCGATTTGGCAGGGAAAAAAGACTTTTGTGTCATAGAGGCATCAGGTGTATTCCCTGTGCGCTATTTTGGTCTTCATCATCTGGAAAAATATTGTTGAGTTTTGTTTCAAAAATGAGAATTGACTAAATCATTCACCCACTTCATTTCATGATATATAATTGCTTTTTTCCGGCAGGACTGTTGCATACTTAACACGATTTTAGAAACTGAAACAGCCATCTGTTTCAACAGATTAGTACGTCAGGGACTGAAATGTTTATGATGGTGTAGAAAAGCATACAGTGGACTTTTGCCAGCATTTATAGAAATGTTAATATCAGCGCACACCCACACAGACAAACACAATCTTCATGTACTGAAAAAAATCTAGAGTAGACTAATATAAGAGAGGATTATACATTATATTTATATAAACTATTAGAGCAATAACTACTGTAATTTATGGGTTTTGTTGCAGATCTTCTCACTGGGATACTGTCCAACGGGGGAGTGGCTGGCAGTGGGGATGGAGAACAATAATGTGGAGGTCCTGCATGTCACCAAACCAGACAAGTACCAGCTCCACCTGCATGAAAGCTGTGTGCTCTCACTCAGATTTGCTCATTGTGGTAAGAATCAACAAACATGTTCCTACCAGTATTTTTGAAAAGGTCTTAAATTCATGTATGTACCACATCTTGGGGAAATGGTCTTGTTCATCAAATTATGTGTGAGCTGGTGGGAACTGCTAATGTCTCACTTCAGCATTATAATGATATTATGCGCTAGAGAAAAGGACAGTTTGTAATGAACACAAATGTGATTACATAATTTAGAATGTAAATGAAGGTGATTTTCAGGTGAAAAAAACCAAACCAATAATGATTTTTTAGAAGTTTAATTAAAGATTAAGACTCCTGGATAAGATGGAATCAGCCGGCAAAGTCTTAGCATGGAGCACCAATAGGCGTTATCTGCATAAATTGTTTTGATGTTTGCATTGCCATCACTTAATACAGGCCAGTGTCCCAAAATCTGATAACTAAATGTTGTTTTATCTGGGAGTGACCAGTTCTAATGTAGGAGCATACTAATGCTTAAAAAATATCTCTACATTATATCAAAATGATTATAATGTAGAGATGTACTGTATTAAAGCATTATATGCTAGTATCATACTGTATATATTTCACAAAGTTTGGATCAATTCGCCCTCCAGTGGTTAAAATAAGAAGGTAGTGTTCAGTTAGACATGCAGCACTGTTCAAGGACCCACAGTGTATTGGTATATTTGAAGCCCTTTTCCTCTTGGTTCACCCCAGACCCCTCCCTTTCACTCATTTGAACACACTTTTTTTTCATATTTTTCATATTTTTCAGGACAACATTTTTACTCAGTTACAACTTTCACTCTGCACTGAATCTATCAGTGTGTGACAAAGAGTTATCTACATTGTTTCTGATGCATCCTAGAGAGGAGCGTTGTTAAACTATGAGTCGTTATTGCTCACTACATGTATGAACGGGCTTATCAAATAAATGTTGCAGCTGCACTAGAGATTGTTGAATGCTCCTATTTGTTAAGAAGGAGTCAAGAAGCAAATCAAGAAAAGATTTGTTTGACCCAGTTGTCGTGCCAATTGATTAACTGTCAGGTGAATTAGCAGCTGAACCCTCGGAGCAGATAATAATATACATTCTGCTTCAATATGTCAGTGTCCATTAACATCAGTGTCCATTAGCTTCACTCATGTTTTGGCGAAAGCTTTTATTTTGGGGATTTTTTAAATCTGATAGCAGAATGAGTTTGAATGGGAATGCATGGCTTAATTTTAAGTGCCGTTTACAGTAAGTGTTGAGACATGTTTAAAATTCTGGCCAAGTATTTTGTCTTGATGTGGCCTAATGAAGTTTGCCATCCTCTGCAGGGAAGTGGTTTGTGAGCACAGGAAAAGACAATCTGCTTAACGCATGGAGAACCCCGTATGGAGCCAGCATATTCCAGGTAAGTGTGGAAGAATGAAGCACAAAAACATAAACATGAATGACAGCTGAGAGGCAGTCATAATAGATAGTCAGAATACAGTTCAGTCTGACAGCCAGGAGGTTACAGATTTAATGGACATCAAGATATCCAAAACTTTTCTGCCCCCCTTTTGGGGAAGTAGTCAATTATAGACAAGAAAATATATTTAAAAGGTGCACAAGTGGAAATCATCATTATCTAAAAAAGTAGATATCCTTCTGGGATATCATTGTATATCAAGGACACAAACATTTGAATGAAGAGCTTTCATGAGACTCTCGATTAAGGCTGCTCAATTAATCGAATCAAGAAATTTGATACATGATTACGATTTTGGGGCCAAAAACGATCTCCCAAAACCTAATAAAAATCGGTTTGGAAACCGATTTTTTTTCATTTTCTGTTGTGCAACGTTGTTAGAAAAAAGCTGTCTGCGTATTTCCGCGCATGCATATTTCCGTCGCCCCTCCCAGCAGCATGCACTGCACCATGAGTCATGCGCTCGGTATACTCGCCGTTCCCGACCCTGTTGCGCGAGCAATGTGAAGTCACGGGACGCGCGTATACTATTTAATACTTGCACTGGTGGTCGCGACACTGCTGCAGTCTTCTCCTTGTCACCGTTTGGTTTTCGTTGAACAGGTTTGAACAGACTTACAAATGTTTATAAGGGGAAAGGAAAGATATATAAAGCTGAAGTGTTTTTGACAATTGTCCGAATAACAACAGCCATAGAAGTTATCTTGTAATATGTTTTAGAAAAAAATAGCCCTACTCTCGAAAAGAAAAGACAAAGTTGCAGTGGGAGCTAAGTGTGTGACTGCACTTTACTTTTTATAGATAAGGTGGACTGGATGGAGAAATAAATCATATCAAGTCCTCTGTTCAACACCTGTCTATCACACATGGCCTTCATGCCTCTTAAACCCACTTTTTCATCTTTTATTCCCCTTACAGTCAAAGGAGTCGTCCTCAGTGCTGAGCTGTGACATCTCTATAGATGATAAGTACATTGTGACGGGCTCAGGAGATAAGAAGGCGACTGTCTACGAGGTGAACTACTAGGAGGTCTGTGGCCATTCAACGACAAGGCCACCCTTCCACCCAGGCACTCTGCGATGTCTCCATCACCCGTGTACAATGTTTAATGTGTATAAAAGGGATTTGAATGGAACTAACCAAACAGACCGAGTCTTTCTTAGACAGTGACCTTTTGACCTTCTAGCCTGTCGTGGCTCAAAACGAACAAGCAGAACCAAGCACAGAGATTTTTTTTTTTATTTTTTTTTGAGTGGAGTGTAGTGAGTGTGAATGTCCATGTATGTGCACTGAATCTGCAGGATGTTGTTTTAGCATTGGCCAGATAACATTCCTTTTAAGCCTGTACTTGTTTTTATAGTTTTTTTTTTTACTGACATGAGCGCCATTGTTCACCTACTCCCTGTTTTGTGAGTACCTGAAGGCTTAAAAAAAATCATACTGAATCATTCCTGGCTGATACCAGAATATCTTCTCCTCTGAGAACTTCCAATTTTGTCATACTTAACTAAAAATGGCAACACTCAAGAGAGTTACCAGTGGATTAATGTTAGTATCACGGGAGAAAAAGCCACAAGCTTTAGAAGTTTCTCTGCCACTTTTGTTGTCGTCTGCTCAGAGTCATACTGCTACTACACTGTGAAGGAACACGGCATACACAGGGTAGCCCTCATGCACACGTTACATGTGGTTGACATACATCCACTGCGTTATTCAACTTCCTGTGGATGTTTGCATACAATTGATTGTTTTCTGTATTTTGATCGAACTCAACAGCTTTCATTAATGTGAGCTCTAAAGGCAGTGCTGTTTTTTATATTTTGGTTCTGTCCCATTCTCTGTGTTAATACCTCATACCAAATTTGCCTTTTTTTAATGTCGACATTTCTTTATGTAAGCAAAATCAGCCTTTCATATTTGAAAACCTTCTTTAGTTTACTTTAGTATCTCAGTGCTATTAAGTTTTACAAGACAGTGGACTGGTTACACTTAGGTCCTACCAGGGACTAACCAATGGGACTAACACAGAACCTACATTATAAAACCAGTGGCTTTGTCCTTAAAGTAGTAGTTTAAAACATGATAATTAGCTTTCTTGCAAAGTTAGACAAGAAGATTGATACCACTCTTATGTCTGAACACCAAATATGAAGCTACAGCCAGGACGGGTTAGCTTAGCTTAGCATAAAGACTGGAAACAGGAGGAAACAAAGTATGCCTACTAGCAGCTTGTCATTTAGTCGTCGCTGAGATTGTCAGGCAACCAGTAGTGATTCCACACAGTCGCTGCTGGCAGCCAAGAAATAGTCTGGCACATAACTCTCCATAAAACAACAACTTTTTGTCTTAATGCTTGGGTTTTTATACAGACTAAACAAACAATATATAACATATTAATTAGTGAGCTCTAAAGGGGCTGTTTCCCTTTTATTTTCAGATTTTATGCGAAGCTAAGCTAGCTGCTGGCTGTATATTCACCGCTCAGACATGAAAGTTGTATCTTCTCATCTTACCTTCAACAAGAAAGCAAATAATCATCTTTCCCAAAATGGCTTTGATCATTGATTCATATGATTGCAGCTTGTGTTTCTTTTCTACCTGCTGTATGTGTTCATTAAATATTTGTATTTATTTTCTCTCTTAACTCTCATAATTCTGAGTGAGGTGTGAGCTCAGTCTTTGTTTGTGTGTGTGTGTGTGTGTGTGTGTGTGTGTGTGTGTTTTGACCCTGTGGGCGTTGAACAAACAAACAAGATTGCCCTCACTGTAGTCTGCCCTTTGAACTTGGTTCTGCTCCCTCAGTTCAGACTCCTGTGGATGCTCACTGGATTCTGTCTGACAGATTTCGGTAAAAAACTGTCTGGTGTTTGGAGGTCAACCAGCCTTCCATTTCCTGCCTGGATTTTTATTTGTTTGGACCTTTAGCCACTGAAAATAAGTGGCGATATGCTCGTGATCTCTCTTGGATTTACTTCTGTTGGCTTGTAGAAATAACACAGTGCCTTTATGCTGCTACGCTTCTGACTCCATTATGTCCCGCTGAGTGTTCAACTACACAGAAGAGAGAACATCATGGACTCTTCTGTTGGAGTCCTTTTTAAAAATTTACTGTTTTTGAGTGTATATCTCGCAACATTTAAGGATGGATTTTAGTAAAAAAGATCAGCAAAGTAACACAAACAGCAACCCAGATTTTCCCGTCTGGTTGGTATCAGTTGTCTGTGGTCCACTTGGAAGTAATCAGGACAATACTTCTCTTTAATTCTGCCTTCTTTGCTGAACACATGTTCATGTTCTGATTGTTTGAAGCATGGTGCCATTAACCAGATGCTTTTGAAGTTTCTCCACTTTACTTTTCTTTCTGCTTTAAAGCTTTGTTCTTGTTGCACATCGACAGGAAGACACCCAAAACACACAGCGCATCAGTAGTTACTGGCAGAGAGGTCAGTCTCTGCTATATTCAACAAAAACAACCTTTCCTAATCTTAACCATTTCCGCCTTATCAACTACACTTAGATATCTGGAGGCTCCTTCTTTAAACATAATCATTTAAATTTTGTGCTTAAACCCAACCTCCTGGTTTAGCTACTACCCAGAACCCTTGTGAGATCCATAATTTTACATCACTGAAAGAATATTTTGAGACCAGCTGAGTGATTTAGAAATGTACAAAGAAAACAGAAGAACAGAGGATTGATTATTGGAGTAACTGATTATTGTATAAAACGTACCTGTATTGTTATTTTAATGCCAGAAGTTGCATATTACAGCTTTAATTTCCATTTCTTGACCCTGAGTGCAACATTCTCAACCCACAACTCAAGAAGGAAGCAGTGAACAGAGAGGTTTCCATTTTTTTTGTTTTCTACTGTTTATGGGATTAAAATAATAAGAAAGCTCATCTCATATGTGCATGTTATTGTCATGTTATTATCACTGCCTAAAACCAATTTCTCTGGCTTAATAAGGGCAACGACTGCTTTATAAAAGATGGGCAAACATGACCAGATTCAAATGTGGTTCATGGTTTACCTTTCTAACTGATAGAGAGAGCAGTGCTCATGCTCAGTACTAATCCAGATACCTACCTATACCTGTCTTATTTTACTATGAGGTTTTAATATTTAAAGATAGATATTAAAATCTGAGAAAGATCAGTTTGTGACACTCCCATGCACGTCTGAACTCCTCTCCAACTCTCTAAGTTACTGTATTACAGTGTTTTTCAGTTAAATGCCAAGGAGAAGCAAATTTGAAGATGGTCAGGTGGTTTTATTTATAATATTAATTGTTTTTTGTGACACAGACAGATCTGTATTCCCACTGGGGTGAATTCAAATGGACATTTTGTATTGAAGCTACCTTGAATAGGAACGAAAGACATTTCATTGTTACGGCTGGTATTTTTGTAATTTCTTTGACAGGCACACACTGACACTGTACATCCTGAAGGACTGGCCATGATATTGGTTTGGGTTTCACTGTGTTTGCCTTATTCTGTGCTTTCTTTCTGAATCTGAAACATTTCTGTGATTGCTGCAGTCAGCTATGCTTTCAAATTAAAATGACAATTCACTCACCTTGCTGTCATCGACCCCACAGCTGCGTTTTCTGCTCTTGAATGACTCATAAAATCTGTACCTTCTGTACTAAACAGCTACTGTGCAACTTTCATCCCCATAAATAATGGAAAAACATACACTTTGGTTACACCTGCGCTAATGTCAAGAGTCAAACCTCAATGTTACTCATCTCATCTGAGTGCTACAAGTTAACATGACCTGATACGGAAATGGTGTTATGTACAATAATGATGTGTAGAGCATTTAGGTTGACTGAACTCATGAAGGTATTATACATATACTGTAAACATGTAATAACTCAAGTCTACAGTGGAAAGAAACTTCCTGTTGCTAGTTGAGCTTTCCCCCCCCTCTTCAATACAAAATGCCTTTGCTCTCTTTTTTCTAGTCTGTGGTTGATTTTATTAAATTATTGTGTGGAGTATTTTGTCTGAGACTCAGTCACTGTTCCAATTCATCTGTTTGGATGTTCATTATTTAGTATTTATTATTACTAACAAATAAGGCAATTAATTACTTAATTATTTCAGAGAAAGTGCACAGATTTATTGCTGCATGTGACAACAATAAGTTCTGCAACAATGACTCTGAGTCCAGATATTGAAGACACTTAGATCTGCATTACTATGGGACAGGCAGCTTGTGCCCCACCTTCAACTGAAAAACATTTTGTTTCAAAGTATCTTTTGACTCCTCTACTTGCCCAGCTGAAGAAAATAACCTTGTTTTTCCCTCAATGGTGTTAGAAGGTACATCATAGACGGATTTTCTGTATCTTTGAAGAGTATCTGTAGAATTTGATCGTATAGCTATAGCAGAAACGAAAAATGTGAGTGTGGGTGTGATGGATGCAGGTTAACCGTACTGTCAGTAACAGCAGATTGTTTCTCTCCTACCTAAAGATTAATGCTTGTGACATCTTTCATTCCTCAGTTCACAAATGTGTGTATGGAAACCTGTTAATAGGCTCATTATCAACCTTAAACCTGACTCGTTTCTGTCAATTCCCAGACCATTAATATTATAATGGAATGTACACTGGCTACAGCCTTTCAGCTACAGCAGAAGATCATTTTGCATTGAAGGTTATTCCATTCTTGAGCTCTGGCTCTCTGCCCTTGAAATAAACTTAAAGCACTGTCTTGTGGCAAAACAACCAGAACAACAACTTCTAGCTTGTCCTTTGATTTCTTTACTTTTCAGCTCTGGACTTACCACTAAGTCTACTGAAACACCTTCTCTCTATAGCTGCCCTAACTTACTTTTGAACTTCTAAACCTACATCTGAATCCTCTGAGCTGAAAAGCAGATACATTGCTGAATAAACTGGCCACATAAAGTATCCACATTTTATCTGCTAGGCTATTGTGTTTATTCCAATGACTTGACTGGCGGTTTGAAGCCATTTTTTTATCACTCATTCACTACAAACTATCACGACTCTATGAAGAACCCAAACGTCTGTATTAAGAAAGTGATTAAATAGAGTAAGTAATACCATTAGTGGATGATGACCACACTAATATCACAATAATTATCACAATAAATATTCTGTGTCCTCTTTAAAGCATAGTGTGACAAACTTTTTAGCCAAAAAAGCCAAAAAAAGCTTTGGATTTTGACTCTTTAGTGAGCAGCAGGCATAGTCCAACATCCATATTAAGTGAGCTGGAAAACGAGGGTTTCAAGTGTTTTAGTGTGGCATTTTAGCACAAGCTGACAGGTCAACGCTAGTCTCTGTCTAACCTCCCATTGTGAACGTGCTGTGTTCACGCAGAGCACAGCGCTGGACTGTTGAAGTGGATTAAGTGATCTAAGTGAGGGCTGTGGAGGAGGACGCTCCACCATTACAGTGAATGATACTCCTGTTACAGCTCTCCAACTGGCACTTCAAACAGCCAAAAGTGGGAGAGAAGGAGGAAAGGTGGGGATGCAATGTGGGAATGAGCCACCCTACTTCAACATTTTATATTAAGAGCACTTGCAGCTTGCAAATTGCCCACTTTCCTGACAGACATAGAAGCTGGATTAAACAAACAGGCCACACAATAGCAAGATGGCTTTAGCTTGCATGTGTTGCATCACGTTGCTGGAAGATTTGGCTCATAAAATCTGCAAAGATTAGCATTCATGACAAGCCTGCACACTTGGATGTGAAAGGTTTGTATGTTTGTGACCACCACTGTCACATTTATTGTCCTTCTAAAAACCTTAATGACCATGTTAGCGACCTCACAGTCGGCTGGTATAATGTTTTTAAAGTGGCACTTTACAGAACCATTACAATACTCTGCTAACTTCAGAGCACTTTCAAAATCACTCCTAATTAATTCACTTTTAGAGCACCGACAACACACTTCGGAGTCTCTATAGACACAACAGAGTGAATATTTGCTGCAGTTCAAAACAAAGTATGTGAAGCTCAATACTAAAGCATTGAAGTTTGAGCTAAATGCTAATGTCAGCATGTTAATATGTTGGGAATGACAATGCTATCATGCTGATGCTTAGTAGATTTACCAACTTAGTTTAGTGTGTTAGAATGTTAACATTTGAGAATTACCACTAAACACAAAGTAGGCTACCGCATAAGGCTGATGGGAATTATTATGTGTTATTGCAGGTATTTTATCATCAACCAAAATATTGGACAGAATCAAAAATATTACCTGATGATGTTGCAAAATGGGATACCAAATTTCATGGCAATCCACCCAATAAATGATGAAAATTCACCCTCTACGGACAGATTAAACTGTTCTATAAAAGTGATCTTTCTCTTGGCACACCAGTCGTGGTTACTAGGAGATTTAAAAAAAAAAACACCTTAAAACAGGAATGGGGAGATTAGTGAACAACATCCACCACTTCCAGTGGCTACTGTGCTTTGATCATAAAACCTCAGCTGAACTCAAAATCATGGGTCATTCTTGTGATGGGATACGCAAAAGCCCCGGTAACAGCAGTGGATCTGCTGCTTTGTATCTTTAGTCTTTTATTCCCTAAACACATTCTGCACAAAAGGGCCAATTACCTTAGGAAATGCCAGGATTTTTTCACTTAAATAATGATGAATAGGTTTAACATCTGACCATCAATAATGGGTGGCTTTTATACTCCTTTAATGCTTTAGTATTCACTATGAACAAGAGCACACTGCAGGCAACTTAATAACTCCTGCCAAGTACAAGATATTACCTTTTAACCCAGGATCAGAGAAGCTCTGCACTCAGATAGTAATGAAGTAATAGAAACCTGATTTTAATATGCACCAACAGGATTTTTACACATAGAGGAGCAGCAAATAAAATGTCTACGTCTATGAAAGAACGTGGATGTGAATAGAGATTTGTTCCTTTGGTATTTAGAGGGACAGGTCATGCTATGCATTAAGGATGTACTTTATTTTATCTTTAACGGTATTATATCACTGCTCCCGTACAGGGCTCACAATCTTCTCTTTTACAGCCTTGTATTGCATTTGAACTCATACAAATCTGGCCTTGTCATATCTGACTCACTAATTTCTCCCATTTTTCACCTTACCGATGCTATCACATCTGTGAAAGAGATTGGATGAGGATACACGATAGAGCACGTCCATCAGCATATCTGGTGGAGTAAATTTGATGAGATGAAAGATTTGTAAGAAGCTTTATACTTCCAAACGATTCAAAGGGACATTTCTCACAACAACTGATGCTGCTAACAATTTCTTGCCCTATTACAGGGTGGACTGATGATTAATTCATGTCTCCGCCATCTTAACGAGGTTGTGCCCGTTAGTGGGCAGGAGGGGGGCTGCACTCTGTGGAGCTTTGATATCCTACATTCAAGGCTGTGTCACACATTAATGACTTCTTTGAGCTGAGAAACGAGCATCATTATCTCTTTTCAAAAAGGGAAGGATGAGAGATTTCAGCTCAGCTTGTATAAAGACAGGGGAGGAATCAGTCACTGTGTATGTGTGTTTGTGTGTGTGCGTGTGCATGTGCGTGTGTGTGTGTGTGATAGACTGAGTGACACTTAAGCATTGCCTTGCATTGCAACCCGCATCTGAGGGAAAGGATGGAAGAAGTTGCTTCTCTGTGTACAGTTCAGTGTAAAGTTAAATGAGTACCTACAGTAAAACTAAAAGATTTCATATTCCTGTAAAGACATTCCAAAAAAATGAATGGTAGCTGAGGCTGACTTTTAGTTAGTCGTTTTGTCTAAGAAAAACTGGATGCTACATTTCCCATCATATAAGTCAGTGTCGTTATACCCTTCCTGCCTGGTAAATGTCTTTCAGATTCCAGACCCCCTGTTTTCAGAGGATGACTTGTACGCCCTGTAATGAGTGAAATTACCATAAATTGAATGCATCTTAAGACTAAGGCTGGGAATTGTTTTCATTTCCCCCATACCAGTGGAGATACAATACCTGACCAATACTAAAACATAACATTTTAGATACTTTACTTAAAAATATAAACATATTTTTCTATACACCCCTTTTTCATTTAACAAAATAAAGTTCTCAATGGCAACATTTTGAAGTAAATTAGGAACCATCTGATCAAAAAATTAGTATACAAGATTATAAATGTGAACAAACATTCAGTGCCACTTTTCACTTGATACACAGTGCAACAGACTCATTTCAGTCAAAAAAGTATTGAGGTTTAATATCCAATCCTGAAGATAACTCAAATCAAGGAAGCTTTTAGATTTATCTATGCTGTTTAAAATAGAGTAATTGCTTCCGCTATAAGAGAAGATCCCGGTGGTGATGTAAAACTGTAACAGGCAATATATAAAACACTAGAAAACTAGAAACTACATTCTGGCATATTTCTGTAAAGTGGCTCCCTGATACTCTTTTATGTTCCAAGAGACTTTACTAAATTCCTTGCCTGACCGTGTGATTTTCCACAGATTTCAGAACCAAATGATACCCTGTTCTTTATTTCTTTTTCATCCAACCCTGGTATACTTTTTAACCACTTTACTGCACCCTACTCGCAGTCATCAAAATATTTTATTCTTTTCAACTTTAAAGAGGCTTTTCATACCTCTACATCTATTCTGTCACTTCAGCGCTGCGGCAGTGAGAAGGGTTCAAAGGTCACGGCAAAGTAGAGAGAGCTGTATGAGTGAGAGGGTTCGAGTTCACCCAGAGAGTGGAGGATTGTATATTTCCTAAGAAAACAGGAGCAGCCATTTGAGTGGAGGTCATGGACATTGCTATGCATGCTGATAGAATAGGTGGAAGCGTTGGAGGAGAAAGGCCTCTTAAAACTAAATGAACTAAAAGCTCTTGGTTTGAACGCTCTTCAGCCTATACTCTGCCAAATGTACTCTAG